TCAATTCTCAAAAACTTTAGCTATAAAAAAAAGTATTCAAACATTCAGTTCTGAGTTTTATTTTACTTTTTTTTGTATTGCAAACAAATTCATGTCATTCACGCGAAACAACATTATCCTCATCGGCGACAGCGGTGTGGGAAAGACATCCCTTTTGCGGCAATTCACTGATAATAGATTCAACGCAAACGAGTTGACAACCCATGGCGTGGCCTTTCGGTCCGTGGACTACAACTATGACGGCTTGCAGTTAAAGATAGCCCTTTGGGACTCGTCTTCGTTGCCTCAATACAGACAAGTGTCACGTCTTTACTATAAGGACGTGTCCGCAGCCCTTATTGTGAGTCATATTTTCACTATATTTACAATGTTTTGCAATCAATTATTCTGTGTATGAATTCTGTGCTCATGTTTTTCATATGGAAAGTGAAAGTGAAGTCAATTATTCTTATAATAATCTCCCTATTTTTCTAACGACTTGTTATTTATAATATTAGATAACCTAATGTCTTATTTCCTTAAACAATGCGAATCTAATCATTAGTAGAGGTATAGACTATAGACTTTAGTCTAAAAGTTTTATAACTTAAATTGTGAGAAATAAATTTTAATTTTTAAACTACTAAAGTAAATGTAAAATATTAAATTATAAAATACAAGAATTCAAATAACTATTATATTACACAATTTACTATATTGAAAATTTATAAAATAAAAAAAAGTCACCTAATTATCTAATCTATAATAATGTTAACAAATAATTATAAACAACAGTACCCTGTATACAAACACAAATTCTAAACTGACTTTTAATTTAAATTGAATTAGTTTTTACAATAATTTTACAAAAATACTACGCTATGAATAGGTCTATGATGTGACCAATAGGTCTACATTTGATCGGTTAAACAACTGGATCAATACGATCAGGGAACACTCAAATATACTGAAATACATAGCAATTGTGGGCAATAAACTGGATTTGCGGGACCGGTTTGAGGCCAACCACGTGACCCGCAAAGAGGGCCTGGAGTTTGCGCAACGAAAGAATGTCCAGTTCTTCGAGAGTTCCGCAAAACTAGACATAAATATATCGGA